GCCTGCGGTGATACTGGATGTGAAGTCGTTTAGGAAGATACCATTGAATACTGAAAGTTGCAGACTTGGTAGATCAATTGATGTTGACAGATCGCACACTTGTGTCACCGAAGGTGATGAAGCACCCGAGGATGTAGTTGCTGTTTGTTATCAATTTACAGAAGATTAATAACTCCATATGCTGATATTGTAGAATTATTTAACAATCTCGTTACCTGTGCTAGATGAACCTCCATTGATATTGCTTGAATTAGAAACTACATTAGAAGTGGAGGTAGCTGACGATGTTACAGAAGATGATGCTGCGAATTGATGACATGAATGTAAAATGATTGTCAGAGGATTGAAATAACACTTAAAATATCAGTTTTCAACATGTGTTGTTGTCAAACTTACCTGAGCTCGATGATGCTGTTACGCTAACCGATGAGGATGGTAATGTGCTGCTGCTAGTGGTATTTCGATTGGGAACACATCCAAGGAACGATTTACACAAGCCGCCGGACGCAGTTGTAAAATCTAAAATGTCGACATTGGATATTTGCCAGCTAATAGAAAGGAGTACCGTTAGACTTTCCTTTCTCATCACACTGTATAGACACTTTACACTTACTTGTAGTTATACGAAACCAACAATCCAGCAAAGTTTCCAGTGGGTCCATCCAAGATGGCAGCTGAAATTTAATATTACAGTTAGAAGAGTGCTTCTGACTAATGTGAGCAGAATAGAATATAACAAACCATTTGGAGCCAAAATCAATCCTTGAAGGACTGATTTGGTGTTACGAGATAGTGTGATAGGTCCATTAGTATGTGATCCGTCGATGTTCACTGCATAAATATTCCAGATGGTTCGGCAAGAATCTGTGCCAACACTAGGAGTATCGGCATCAATGACCAAAGCTCCTCCTACTGCAACAGGTACCTAAAAGTCAAAGTCATAAAGTAAGTATCAGGCGTATCTGAATCGCATCTAACTGAGAAGGTTCATTACATTGATCACCAAAGTAGCGCCAGTTGGCCATTTGGTTCCAGCAGTCGGTCCTTTATATCCAGAAAGATTGGTAATCACCCCTGAGGT